TCGCGTATATATATATATATATATATATATACAGAGTGTACTACATGTTCATGATATCAAGAGTAAATAATAGCGCATGTTTATAGCGAGAAGGATTCTAAGAAGGCTTAACTAATACATCAGTTTAATTAAAATAGGCAATACTATTAAGATACGCGCTTTATTTACTCCCTGCGGTGAGCGCGTGTGTGTGCAGTGCGGTATACTGTCGCTCATAGGGTCTATGTCCCCCAGGGTACTGCCGGAACGTACCCTGGGTACGGTCCGGTATACCGGAACGTACCCTGGTCACTATTTGATATGGTTAGGGTTAGGGTTCGGGTTAGGGTTAGGGAGTAGGCGTAGGCAACTCCCTAGACTCGTTAGTGGAGTAGGCGAGGTACGGTCCGGTATATTAGATAGTACCAGGGTACGTTCCGGCAGTACCCCGGGGGACATAGACCCTATCAGCTATACTGTCTCGATTCACTCCACTCGCTAAATTACGACCAAACGATAGTTGGTAACCATAGAAACGACTATACGTGAGTGAACTAAAGCGATACGTAGGGCAGCACACACGGTGGGGACCAGTCACGTTCCCGCCTGTAGCTGCCGCCGCCGCGCGGACAATTTTTGTACATTTGTATTTTGGGAACGTCAAGTAAACGTTGAAGTACTTTTAACTGGAATCGTGACGTTACTCGATCTATCGATCTCTCGTTTGTTGGCGGTGTTGAACCTCCCGCAACCCCTCTTCCACCCCAGACTATAGCTGGCTGTGTTACGTGTTGCGTTTGTAAATAGATTGCTGTCATTACCTCCGCGCAACGGAGTTGCAGGGAGGTAATGTAATCGCTCTCATGTATGTGTTCGTGTGTGTGTGTAGCGTTGGCGCGATCGATTCAGCACCAGCTCGTCTTAGGGCGTCCAGTTAGCAGCAGCTCGCCTTAGGGAGTCCAGTCAGCAGCAGCTCGCCTTAGGGCGTCCAGTCAGCAGCAGCCAGCAGCGAGCCAGCTGTTATACACATGTACGCTCGCGGAGGTATGCACTCTCTTTGAGTGCCCTCTGTCTAGTTGTGAAGGTGTGAGGGCGTGTGTGTGTATAGGAGCGCGTAGCTATGTGTCATTTCTCGCCCACCGACTCTCTCGCGCGCGTTCTCTCTCTCTCTCTATCTCTACCTAACTTTCTCTCTGTCTCTTTCTTTTTCTCTTTCTTTCGCTCTGTGTGTGTGTGTGTGTGTGTGTGTGCGTGGGTGTGTGTGTGTGTGTGTGCGCGCGCGCGTGCGTGTGCGTGCGTGCGTGCGTGGCAATCTTCCGTTCTCTCTCCCCACGCGCGCGCTCTCTCTCTCTCTCCCTCTATGTTTTCCTTCCACTGTGTGTGCATCTCGGCATGGGCACACGGTGACACCGACATCGTATACGTGTTGCTGTACGGACGGATCTTCTCTCTCATCTCTTGGCTACTCGGCTCAGCGTCCCTAGAAAAGACACATTTCCTAGTACTATCAATCTATATATATAAACACACGTAGCTCTAGGTTTAGTGCTGATCATGACTCTTAGTGAGTACGATCCATATATAAACGCCCGTAGCTCTATAATATTCAGTACTAAAAGAGGGATGGCTATAGTTAGAAGGGGGTATGGAGGAGCGCAGTGAGCTCCCCTAGCAGGACCCAGTCGCACAGTTGTGCTGCTTTAGGCGGAAATTTCTGGACTACAGTAAGCACTAAATTTGGGGAACAATGAGTAAAATGGAAGTTTGATATGCTCATAAATCAATAATAAATAATTTTTTCTGGTACGTTAATTGTTTCTTTCACGGGTTGGGGACAAGGCTACGATGCTTCACTAGATGTTCCAGTCCAGTGCGCATGCGCATAAAACCGCACATCTGCTGCGCTTTCCGCGTCAGCGTGCAATGGGAACAAAAAAACAACAACTAAACCAACCGCACCTCCCAACTCCAGACGTAAACAAGTCCTTCTGACATCACCTCGGTGTCTATCGGAAAAGACTAATCCCCGGGCACTCTGTGAGGGCGAGCCCACACAGGGTATGGTTAGGTTTAGGTTAGGTTTAGGATTAGGGTTAGGAATAAGGTTAGGGTTAGGGTTAGAGTTAGGCCTACCCTACCCGACCCTACCCTACCCGACCACCCCTACACTGTGGGCTCACCCTCACAGAGTGCCCGGGGATTAGTCTTACCCGTGTCTATCACGTGTCTAAGCACACACGTGCATGCGTCGGCTGCTAAACATAGTTACGAGGGGGCGGGGAAACGTAGGCGCATATGCACTCTATGCTACGACAAGTGGGTGTTGCTATCCCACGGGCGTGGAGGGAGGTCACGTGATAACGTTGACGATGACGTTCAAAACGATAAACCTAACGGTGACACTAACACTCACACTAAATATATATGTGTCGCCGCGCTATATATAGGCATTGTGATCCACAAAAATTAATCTATGGTGTGGGGACAGATATCATGATGCAAAAACCCTAACCCTAACCCTAATCCTAACCCTAACCCTAATCCTAACCCTAACCCTAAACCTGACCCTAACCCTAATCCTAACACTATCCCAACACTAGTGCTGCCACATTGCGGTCACCTCCCTCCACGCCCGTGGGATAGCATTACCCACGACGAGTGCAGTCTGCTATCTCAACTCTCCATCCCCGGCGCACCCACGCTGTGTCTTGGCAGCCGCAGCAGCCAGCGTGCTGTGTGTTTAAGCCGGCGAGGTAGGCCACCCAGGCCCACCTTACCTGCATTCGTGGAAATCAGCCGGAAGCAAATCAGCCGCGGAAGTGGATGATGTAATTTGCGTGACGTGCACTCAGCTCTTGCGCGCGCAACACCGTCGGGACCGCAAGTATCATCATCATCGTCGTCGTCGTAGTTGTTGCCGTCGTCATCATCATCGTCGTAGTCGTCGTCACTGGGATGGCTCGTTGAATTTGCCACCAATGTCGCCGCCGTGTCACGATGGACGCATGCGCGGAAGCTGCTTGCGATGCTTTGGATTGCTGTGTTACGTCACGGGCGAAAAGAACCGGTCGACACAGGTTCCACGTAGCCACACACGTACCACGTAGCCAGCACAATGAACAACGATTGGTCAGAATTAAGTGGATCGCACAAACGTCTTATTATCCTAGCTACTCCTACAACGATGTCCTTGACTAGGATAACTGGGAACTAGTCCAGTGTCAGAGAGAAACGGGTGGAGCTTGTCTAGTCAAGTTTTGCGCGTGGGGGGGGGCACTCACCCAATATTATGGTAGGTATGTGCCACTGCGAAGTCAAAAATGGGGGGAGGGGGGCCCTGGAACTAACTCAGACCTGAAAATGGGGGTATCTGGAACTAGGATTTCGTTGAAATGCAATGCTATAGAACGGACGGAGTTCATCATCGGATGTAAATAAACAAGAACAGCAGCAGCAGCTGACCATCCATTCATATGCGCATGCGTTGCATGCATGCCTTCTTCACGGCCCGGCTTCAACGTATTCTGAAGTACGATGCACTGGAACGGAAATGTTAAAAACTAAGGTCTCCTGAACGGCAAAAATGTAAGATCTGTATGGTAACTCAACTTGTGATGCTCTGGAGCAAGATATTCTTAAAAATGCGATGCACTGGAACGGTAGTTTAGGGTTGAATGTTGAACGCAGACATAATCACAGTGACCAGTGTTGGTACAACGAAGCCGTAGCAAGAAATTCTAGCTGGGCAAAATTCAATGGCGGCTTAGACAGACGCCACCGTCACGGTGAATTTTATGGCGGCAATAGGTGAATTTTACGGGACAGATTTATGTTTGCAATATGTTATCTCTAAAAGTTCGGTCTCAGGATCTATACGCAGGATTATGCTAGATTTTCGATGAAAAAATTATACTGATTCTACTTAGAAATAGAACATTTTTCCATGAGCATTAATGATAGCAGAAGTCGATTCCTAGCTGTTGAATTGCATATATATATACACTAAATTAATTTTGTAGTATCAACCAACAGACCACATGCGCCCACCATGTAATATTATTCAATTTAGCGTAGATATAAGTCTTCAAGTGTACCGCATCGTAGGGAGTTTAGGAGCGCTATTG